GCCACCACCAATCATCGAAAATGAGCAACTATCATCTCCCAAGTGTCGTTACGTATCAGCTGTCATCTATCAACTACCATTAACTCGGTCTGCCATTCTGTGTCAATACAGCGAAGCGACTTCGCAAAAAGGCAATTAAGCGCCATCTATCTTATACAGCTACATAAGATTTTCTAGATCCAAATTATTTTATTGTGTGCAACCACTTGACGTCGTAATATTGAGTAAATTCCACACACCATATCTCTTCAGTGTTTTTCATACTGCACTGTGGAGATAAAGCACAAAATTGTTTTTCCATTTCAGTTTTTCAGGGTTTGTTTTTGGGAAGGCATGGCTAGAACGACACCACAATGACACACTTTGGAATCGGGCATGGGTCCCCTCTGTCCCCATATAAGAACAGGCACATTCATTCACATCTCGTATGATCCAACGCAGATGGGACATGCAGTTAGCTAGCTAGCTATTTATTCCTCCACCCCAATCTCCCCAGGATGCCAAAATTTACAGATGAGCTTGTGTCGTTATTTAAGTTCCCAAGTATTATGGTGCATTTTGTGTTAATCAGACTACAGTAATATTTTGGAACGCAAAACTTGTGGGTCTGTAACTCGCAGGAAATATGTGTGCAAAATGGCTGTCCTGTAGTGTGAGCCACAAGCTAAATGATGTGTGCCACCATTAAATATAATGAACTGTTAACTTTCCCTGAAGTGTCTCTGGGACGACACATCACCAAGTGAGGCGGTGAAGTCGTTGACTCGCTATCAGCTAGCTGTCCTTCGGCTCTGGTTAGCTTGCGTGCTAGGTGGTGGTTAGCGTTTCTCATCACGGCACGGAAAGCCCCACGACTCAGTTGGATATATTCCAAACACCGTAGGCTTTAGGTGGATATATTTTTGTTGCTCTAATTGGTTGACAAAAGGAAGATGCTTGATATGGTGTTGAACGTGGTGTGGTGTGGCGAGCAGAAAGATTGATTTTTCACGATTTTTGAGTGTCATTTTTTTGTACTTGTTTTTTTTTGTTGCAATCATTCAAATCTGTCATGGTTCTTAACATCACTCTTTTCTCTGTGGTGTGTCAAATTTACAAGTAATTTACAGTCTTTTCATTTGACAGGGTTTTTAATGTCTTGTTTGTTTGATCGTGGAGATTTTGTGAAACCAAGCTCTGGCAGAGCATGCTTTGAATAGACTGAATTGGCCATGTGTTCTTTTCCTTGTTTGGTTGTATGTATTAAAAGTGACCGTTGACGTGCGAGGTTAACATAAGCGGGCAAGTAGTGAGGCAGACGATCATGAAGTTCACACATGCTGATTCGTGTCTGCCACTTCAGGTCAAGCCGAGCCAGCGGCCGGGTAATTATTGATGCTCGCCTGTCACGTGCGTTGTTATTCTTGTTGCCTAGCGAGAAGCGCTAATTGGCCCCGTGGGACTTCATTCCACTGGATTTGTGACGCTCATCTCCAGCATTCTTGCGCCAGATTGGGAACGGCCTGTTTGCCCTCGCCGACATCACATTTTGACTGCTCGCAGACGCCCGCCTGATGTTGTCCCCTTGTGCGCGCAACACCCGCACACGAGCATGATGCTTCTTTTGCGACGCATTTTGTGTCTCGTTTACTGCGTGGGGGTGGATGTGATGGAAAGTGTGGAAGCGCAGAACAATGAGTAAAATCGGCTATTCAACTATCATCAATCAACTGTCACCCACCAACTATGAATTATTATCTCACAACTATCATCTTTCATAACTATCCGCTACCAACTGTCACTTACATTGAAGAATTCATTGCAATCAACTGCCATTTTTTTTCCAACTATCACCTATCGCTTATCATCGATCAATTATAAGCAGCGATGATCCGTCAACCATAGCCCATCACCCATCATCATCATCCGCTTTAAGCTAGCAGCTAACAGCTATCGACTATCAGCTGCCATCAACTGTCAGCGACCAGTTACCAGCAATCGGCTATCATCAATTTGTTGTCAACTATCAACTGCCACTTATTGCAAACTGGCCGCATACATTGGTCTTCATAATAAAACATTTACTTGCTACCAGTAGAAGTCTCGCAATAGCGTAGCATTTAGCTGAAACTACAACGGCTAATGACCAGCGCAGAGAAGCCCACTCCATTCACCTTTAAAGAGTGAGTAGTTTTACTTAATTTTATTTTGAATTAACCGTGGTTAACTTCTTTTGTACGTGGTGATGAATTTTTAAAATGTTGCCAGTCGATTTAATAAAGTTTTAATGATCGTGACGGAGCCCGGAATAGATTATATCACTTTGCGTGATTGAAACTGACTGTTTTAATCATGTCACAGTGCATAAATGTCAAAACGGGGCAGATCTGCAGCATTATTAATGAAATGCTTGCAAGAGGCGACAAGTTGAATCCCTGCTGGTAACATTGGAAAAGATACAGCAGAAGTACTCTTCCAACTTTTCAATTAATTTCATTTTTTTCGTTGGACTTGATTTTGTTTGGCTGCCAAACAATACATTATATTTATTTCATTAAAAAAAGACGAACCCGCCAAGCGACTATTGTCTTTGCAGCTCATCATGGCACAAAAAAAAAAAAGAAGTAAATAAACCATTCTGTATGTTTGGCTCACAGTTTTGGGTTCGAATCTCAGCTACGATACGTTCTTCGAGTGCTTTCATGTTTTTTTTCCTCCTTTCTCTTTTCAGGGATGTCTTCTTGAGATTTTTTTTTTTCTTTTGTACGTCTACTCCTGCTAACGTTCATGTTGTTAAGGGAAACCGGCTTCCTCAAACTTCGGCCATCTGTCTAGTTTACGTGGTTGAAAGCAACCGGACAAGAGGTCAGTTTGTCTCGAAATGGCCAAAGCTGAGCCTGAAATCGCCACTTCAAGAGACTTTGACACACAAGAGGCCCGGAATTACCATTCTGCTCACTCCCTGGCGTTATGGTACAAATCTATGACTTCACTCGTGATTCCTTAACCGCGGGGTGTGAGATTACTCCCGTCAAGGGAACGCTTATCGAGATGCTCCTGCCATCATCTTCCGTAATTGCTTCCCGTAGGCCTTGACGCCAGGGGCACGCGCCGCCTTCAAGTTCCAAGCAGATCCCGCTGGAAGCGAAATATTTTCGCGCCTTTAATGAGTTCTCGGAGCTAAAGATGGTCCGTCGCTTTGAGTTTGATGTTTTCTAAATGGCAGACAGACAGCCGCGCGTACGTAATTGGGGAGCTTCCCCCCCACCCCCGTCTCGCTCTCCAGCTGGCTGATGGCACGACGGTGTCCTCAAAAAGACGGGAGAAGAATGGCTTCGTGAAATATTAAACATCTCGTGCAGCTGCCACCCGAGCGGTGGTTAGAGCGACTCCTCGTCGGGTCTGGGGACGCAAACGGCGTCATTCCTCCCTTGGAGCGACAACGTAGAAGCCACCGGTAAATTGTCCCGAAATGTCAGCTGTCGCCATTTCTTTTCCTCCAAGCAAGACGGTTGCCTAATTAGCGACAGTTGCTGATTACCTCCCTTGGGTTTTAAAAAAAAAAAAAAAAGACTTGTACCTCCTCCATAATGCATCATATAGAACAGGGGTTAAAAACGAGGGCCACGTCCGTCCGCTTTTTTTTTTTTTTTTTTGATACAGTGACATCTTGTGACACAAGTTTAATTCATTGCGTGACCATACGCGTAATTTAAATGACTTGTATCTCAAATCATCTTGCATCAGTGAAATGTGTTTATCTGTTCCAGCCTCCTCCCAAAAACAACTAAATTCATTGTCATGTGTTTTTTTTTTTTTTTAATGACAATTGCAGCAGCATCAGTGGTCAATTCCGTTAGCCCATCTATGGCGTTTTGCGTGACACGTTAACATTAAGCGAGCTGACTTTCATCATTACATGGTTTCGCTCAACATTTTGATGTTTAAAAAGTCCGAAACGATGTTTTCATTCTTTTTTTAAAAGCGGCGTGACAAAGAAACCGCTTGAAGCGAGCACACCTTGCGTCTTATTTGGAGAACTGCGCAAATGAGAAGTATTTTCATTCCTTCAAAGTGAACATATAGGATTTTTTTTCATTCCTTCCATCGTCCTCACATGGTGCCAATCATGTCCGACAACATCTCTCAAGCTCGTTTTGCACCTCCAATGCCCAACCCCTCCCCGCCACTTCTCACTCCTGCATGATTGCGGGATATCAGTCTGGCAGATTCCGGCGTCAAGACAAGTACTTCCTGTGAGATTTAACACTCCATCTTCAGATTGTCTGCCACTTGTCCCTACCTTTTCCCCCCTCTCTGCCTTTACCTGGTTATTTTTTTTTTTCCTTCCTTCTCATTCCCAACTTTAATTTTCTTTGCCTTATCAGAGCCGAGTGCTGCTGCACAGCCGGCGCCGAATAAATTGTACCCCCTTCTGACCTCAATCACATTTGTTGCATTAAAAGAAAAAAAAAAAGTGCTTTGTGAAAAATGATAATTTACCGAAGATGCACAAACGCTCAATTATGGAAAACATGTTGCAGGTGTTTCGCCATTCCAACGCATGTGACCAAAGACTCACCCGCTTGTTTTTTGAGGGATGCAATCGGGAAAATTATTTAATAACGGAAGCCGTTATTAAAAAAAAAAAAAAGCTGGTGTCTACTGTGCCTGTTAATTTTTTTAGGTTGATTTTGATTGCACTGACTACACGGATGATCGTATCTGCTTTCCACTGCCAGCATTTACATGCAGTTCTAAACATTTGCCTTTCAGCCTCTCGGAATACAGCGTGTCACGATCATTTAACGGCTCACATTGATTTTTTTTTTTTTTTTTGGCTCCTGGCTAGAGTCAAGATGGCGGCGCGAGTGGCGTCGGGTTTCAATTAGAGCGTACGGGGATGTAATTGTAGCCTCACTAGTAATGAGTAATGACAGGCGGGCGGTGAATTGTGATAAATGACCCTCTTCAGAGCCACGCGGAGATAGATAGTTTGCAGCGGCTCAGCGGCCCTTTACCTTGTGGTCCACGATGCTGCTGTAGCCCTGGAGCGCCGGGGGATGAGGCCGGGCCGGGCCGAAGGAGACGCCGGTGGGCCCCGGCGGCTGCTCTTGCTCTTGCCGCCGCGTTCGCGTGTCGTTGGCGTCCCGAACGGAGCCGTAGAAGCTGCCATTGTAGACCAGGAAGAGGCTGGCGCACAGGAGCAGCACGAGAAGCATGGCAACACCATGGCGCTGGGAAAAGACATCGCAGGTTTTAGTAGGTTGTCGCCATCCAATGGAAAACAAAAATTGCAAAATGTGGTCCGAAATTGAGTTGGGTTTGAATGTACTGCGTCGAAAAGCTGGTTGATTTAAAATGCAGATGTGATCAAAAGCGTCTATTTGTCATACCCATCTAGTTGACATCAAAATTGGTGGGTTTTGCGACTTCATTCAAGTTCCACAAATGAGGGCACAGAGAACATATTGTCAAGAAAACATTTTGACTGGCCTTCCCTTTTAAAAACTTTACGCTCATCACATTTTGCAAAAATCCGATCATACCCATCTAGTTGATATCAAAGAAAAAATCCATTTCTCATGCCCAGCTCATTGATTAAAATGCTGGATTTCTTCCAATTCTACAGGATCAAACGTTTTATTGACAAAAAAAAAATCAATCAATTTATCATACCCATCACTTAAAAAAAGCAACGCTGGATTTAACAAATTCTACCTGACCATTCATCAACACCAGTTTTACATGATCAAAAAAAAAAAAAAAATCATGATGACAAAAAGAAATCCTTCTGCAGTACTTGATCAAAACTGCCTACCAAATTGTACATGATCAAAAAGATTCTCAAATATATTTTTTTAAATCGCACCCACATCGCTTTACCCTAATTATTTATCGTGTTGTAAATTTCTGTTCTAACTCCAATCAATAAACACCTTGCTCAAATTAGTCGGATGCTACCTCCAAGTAAATGCCTACATCAAATAGACGACTACTTTTTACCCTTTAGCAAAAATAAATAAATAAAATACCAGCGCTCGAAGGTATAATTCTCCGAGTCCGTGCACTCCCATTTGAATTCCATTGCTAACCTAATCAGCAGCACTTAAAAAAAAATCCCTCGGAAAGTCTCGTGATACGAAGCGATCACACTCAAGGTGTGTTCAGGGGCATCTCTGAAGGTCGGAATCGGGAATGTTTTAAAGTTATTTCGCTAGTCTGTAACACACACACACACACACACACACACACACACACACACACGGTACTCTTATGTGGCAAACAGGTAGTTTCTAAAATCGATCTTTATGTTTTTTCTTTTTGCGCGATAAGGGCACAATCTCTTCTCACGCGTAAAATAATGAACCCAAAACACTTGGTGGGGTGGGGGTGGAGTTGGGGTGGAGCACAATCAAAGCTTAGTTGCAGGGCACATCTGTTGGCTGCATTGTTGCGAACCTAATCTTTTGATCCGACAGTCAGTGAGCACAGCGAGCTTATGCTGGCTGTTGGAGCGCACTTCGCTCAACACAGCTGAGGTTTGAGCGAGAGCGATATGCCTTTAAAAATGAACTGAAATGTAAGAAAAAGATCATGCAAAACAACCTTTACCAGCGGTGTCTTCATCTTGCGGCGCTCTCAAAGAGTCAAGCGGGCTCCGTGCGCCCGCGACCGACGCCTCTCATGCTCCGCACGCGTCCGGGTTCCAGCTCTGCCCAGGACTGGCTGGGGAAGCGCTCCGGTTCGGCTCGGGGTTCCTCCACGCAGCCCAGGCGACAGACAGAGCACAATCGGACCTCCGCTGGGTCCTAAAGCCACCTCTACTTTAACATAGCGCAGAAGTGGCATATACAGTGTGTGTGTGTGTGTGTGTGTGTGTGTGTGTGTGTGTGTGTGTGTGTGTGTGTGTGTG